GCAGTGGCTACATGGCCCCTGAGTATGCGATGCAGGGCATATTCTCTTTTAAATCCGATGTCTACAGTTTTGGAGTTTTAGTTCTTGAGATTGTGAGCGGTCGGAAAAACAATATCTTCCAGCAAACTGAAGGTCCTTTAAGCCTGGTGGAACATGTAAGACTTTATGGTTTATCAGACAAAACATCCTTACTGTTTTCTCATATTATATTACAAAATGACTCAACATCTTTATAACCTTATTTCAGTTTTGCGTGTTTGACTTTTTGTAATTACGTCACACCTGTAGTTCTTTGTGATCGTTGCAAGACTTGAGTGAGATATTTTTGCCTATTCTGTTAGGTTTTCAGTATATTTATCTGGAACTCTAAAGCATGAGACTTACTACTGCAGGCTTGGGAGCTTTGGAGAAAAGATTGTGCGCTAGATTTTATGGATCCAACGTTGGGCAACTCATGCATTGTAGGTCAAGTGCAAAAATGCATCCACGTTGGGCTTCTATGTGTCGAGAATCTTGCGGTTGACCGACCATCTATTGAAGATGTTACGTTGATGTTAAAAAATGAAATGACAAACTTGCCAATGCCAAAGAACCCAGGATATATCACGAAAAACAACGTCAATGAAGATGTAGAAACAAGTTTGCTTGAGAAATTATCGGTAAATGAACTCACACTAACTGAAATTGGTGGAAGATAGTACCATAAAATGGCCATCGTGAGTTTGCCTCACTATATCATTTACTCAAAATTTAATCTCAGAAAAAATAGTCATGCGCTCCCTCCTTTCCTTTCCTCTACTGCCTGTGTCTTCACCCTTTCCGGCCAGTGGTGGAGGCTGGCGTTGAGGCGACTGGTTGAGGCCGGTATTTTTGAAAAGTGCGAAGCTTTATTTAGTTTACTATTTTGTCCTCCTTTGTACATTTCTTCTAGTTTGTTGTTTGTTTATTTAGTTTTACTAGTTTCTTTTGTCCTTTTTTGTGTGCTTATAGTTTGTTGGTGTTTCTGTTAGTGTCATTTTTTTCAGTAGTTTAGTCTCCCTTTATTGGAAGGGTTAGGGGTGATTGACTACATACTAGTACGTACCCCGTGCGATGCACGGGATAAAAATATTTAATGAGTTATTTCATATGTTTTGTCCGTTTAAGTATATAAAGCAATAAGATTATCATCTATTTTTCACTTCTTTTAATCAGCTTTAAGTATAATAAACAATAAAGTTATATTATATTTTGCACCTCTTTTAATCAACGTTATTTTTTTAGTAAAAATATTAAAATAATTAATATATTATTTTACTAACACATTTATCCGAATTTAAATTTGATTTTAATATATATATTTATTCCTTGACACAAGAGAGAATAACAATTTTACTTATTCTTGTTCACCATATAATACATAATTATTATTTTATTATACACTTTATGTCATATAATATCATTATTATTTATAAAGTTATAGAAGTTGTACGTCTTCTTTATATTTTTATTTTATGTAATGAAAAATATTTAATGCACGTTTGTATTATTTATTTAATCAATTTAAAATATGCAAATAAATTTAATATTAAATAGTGTATAAATATTTTACAAAATATACACATGTTTTTTTAGAATTTAATTTTATATATTAATTAAACAACTTTGATTTAGAAAATCCTAAAAACTCGATCCCCTATATGATGAAGATTTTTCTAATTCGCATTATAAAGATTTATGGTTTATTTAGCATACTCAACAATGAAAATATATTTTACAAGAATTTAATTATAGAAATAAATTAAAATAAAAAATGAAAAAATATAGTCATGGGTGCCAAAAATATACAAATAAATGCTAAAGAATAGTTAATATATTTCAGTTTAATTTTATTTACCATTAGTAAAACTATTTATTGTATCTGGTCATCTCTTAAAGGGCAAATTATATTAATTTGAAGAACGATTTATTTTTTATATTTAACAAAATAAAGCTTAAGAAACAAATATATTGACAAATATTAATTCACCAATTTTATTTTGTTTGATTACTTGGAAAAAAAAATTCTACGTAATTTTTTACGATTTTTTAATAAATATTTTTGGATAAAAAGTGAATATTTGTGAAAAAAAACTAATATTATGGTTAGAACTTAAAATATGGTGTAATATTATCTTGACCAAAATATTATCAACATGGATCACATAAATCAATCTTGTAATTCATTATAATGAATATCAATGAAAGTATTACAAATATTAATAAAATAATATTTGTTTTGACCAAAATATTATCAACTCGAATCACGAAAATCAATCTTGTAATTTATTATAATAAATAAAAATAAAAATATTGCAGATATTAATAATTTATTTAAGTAATTATTTGATCTTATTTGATAACATGTAAATAGAAGCAATTAATGCATATATAAAAAAATTCTCAAAAATAGCATGCATTAAATGTTTCCTAAATTTTTGCTACTATTTTTAGTAAATGTTAATTTTCTTATATAGATATAGATATAGATTAAAATTGATTTTGATTTATTGGATAATTTTTTACATATTTTAACTAAAAATTTATGTCACTGTAGTTGAACTCAACTTTTTTCAATATTATCAATATAATTAAAAAATATAAATTAATCATTTTCATACATTACACCAACTTTAATATACTATTAGTCAATTCACATATTTTGAAGTACTTATCATTTCTAATAATACTTTTTCTACTTTTACATCAACTATAATATTTATATTTTAAATATATTATTTAAATACTAGCTCAAAATCTCACAAGTCCTCCGCTCAATCAACTTTATTCAAAATAACTCACTTTACTTCAATTTTATTTGATCAACTTTGTTGTTTTGTTGTGTGTTGTCTTGTGGTTGTTTATTGTAGTTTTGCATTTTGTGTTTTTCGATTCTCTCGGTTGGGAGCTTCTTCTCTTGTGAAAGTTTCTTTCTCCTCTGGTGGGAGTTTGGTTGTTGTCATGTGTTGTGTTTTCTTCAGTGTTCTAAAAGTCGCTAGACGCCCGCTAGGCGCCTAGCACCTAGAGCGCCTAGTCGGGGCCTAGAAATTATAATAAATATATTATTTTTATTTATTTTTATAATTTCACTAATGAAATTATAACTTATAATTAATAAATCCATACACCTAAGTCCCAATAATATTATTAAAATTATATTATAAAAAAAACTTCAAGTCAAAATAAGTACATAACCAGAATATAACTTCTTCTCATTGTAATTTTATCAAACACATTATGTACATGTTATGTTTTAAATATTACACAACATAAGATAAATATAAAAAAATTATAAAATAATAAATTATAAGATTTATTATTTAAACTAAATGCATTTAGAAAAAAAATTTGTAAAAACCGCCTAGAACCCGCCTCGGCCGTCTAGAACCCGCCTCAGCCGCCTAGTCCCACCGAAACCGCGTAGCCGCCGAGGCCGCCTAGCTCCGCCTAGGCCCGACTAGGCGCCGCCGAGCCCGTCCGACCGATTTGTCCAAATTTTAGGCGTTGTACCGGCGCCTAGCGCCTAGGCGGCCGCCTAGGCCGACTTTTCGAACACTGGTTTTGTTTTAGTGTTGTGTAGGTAGGTTCTTGACTACACTATGTGTAGCTCTCCCTACTAGTTTCAGCTGGTTG